TATATATATATACGTATCCATCATATATGAAAGCGGCGCTTCTGATCCAGCTGGAAATAGTTGGATTGGAAGCGACGCTTGGGATTGATCAGGTGCGCGCTTTAACAGTCGATTCGCGCTCGAGCGAGCAGAGGCGGTCGCGATGCAGAGAAAAGCAGAACCGCGTCTTCTTTTTGAACATCTATCGCAGAGTTGGGCAACCTCAGCGCTTCGGCTGTGGTGAAACTACGAATCCCAGCATGCGACTGCCTCTGGGAGTCATGTTTGTTGCTGCCAGAGTCTTGCAATGCCTCATGGGATTTGTAGTTTGGCCACAGCTGGAGCTACACATCTCTTGCAGCCAAGGAAGGTGCCATCTTAGCCTCTATAATGCAGTTGCCATGGTGCTGTACATGTGATCGGTATGACACCAGCCATTGGAGGGCTCGAATGTTCGGTTCAGAGCTGAAATAAGCACACTGGCAACCTTGACAGTCGGCACGCCTTAAAAGTAACTGTTTTGGGGGACATTAAACTGGTGGGTCAAGTTCCGCTGTAAGTCAGCGCAGAAAAGACCAGAATCGCGTGCGGCTAGTCGAAAGATTCTGGGAATCTATCATTTGATCGCATCGAACATTGATGCGTGTGTAGTTAGCGGTAACGAGAAATGAACACTACGCCATAGACTCTCTTGTCTGAAATCATCTTTCGCTCAAAAATGACGCAATAAAGAAAAAAAAAAACGATAAAAAATGTGCACAATGCGTATAAACATGCAAATAGCCGCATGCTGCGCACGTGCATACTAACGCACAAAAACGGTGCCGCCTAGGTGTGAACACTGCCTAAGGGCTAGTTCACACCAGATGCAGTCTGCTCAGTTTGGCAGCTGCATCCAAAATGCATCACAATGCTTTCCTATGGGATTTCTGGTGCTCTGTTCACACCAGTGCAGTCCGTTCTGATGCAGTCAGAAAAAATACTGCTTGCCCTATTTAGCGCAACCGAACGCATCAAAACCACATTGGAACACACCTGAAACCCCATTTTAAGCACACACAAAAAACAGACTCGTCAATCGCAGCAAATCGCATTGCAGCTGAGCAGACGCATGCAGTTCTGTGAGGTGCATTGTCTGATAATGTGCAGCAATCGCACAGAACTGTGAATGGGCCCTGAGTGTAAGTCTACAAAAGCACTAAAAATTCTGCATTTGCGAATGCTTTAAAAATGCGCTTTGCTTTACAGGTGCTTTTTTAGTGGTGTGAGAAGATGCATTTTTTAAATGTGTATGACCTCCATTGAGCTGGGACCTTATCCAGGAAACGCATCATGTAAGCTGAAAATGCTATTGAATCGCAAGCAAAGACGTTCGCAAAAGCGGTTCAGAGGCGCCTAATGTATTCTCAATGGACGTGTTAAAGCGGAACACAAGACAAAATTAGTTTTTTTTCGCTTGGTTTGGATAGAGTAAGGGAGAGTTATAACCCCTGTCAGTTTTTTGCCATCTGTATCCCATTGGGGAGATTTCCCTTTACTTCCTGTCCAAAAGACACAACAGGAAGTGAGAGGACGTCCCTGGTGGTCAGCAGATTCCCATCTTTTTATGTTCTGATGACACCCCAAAATTTGGGATTTTCTTTCCCTTTCAGTGATAACGGTCACCAGGACAAATGGAGAGGATGCATATTCCTAATGGGGAAACGGACAGCAAAATCTGACAGGAGTTGTAACCCCTCTTTACCCCATCCAAAATTAGGGTGCCCATACACCGTACGATTATTAGCCGATTTTCGGATGCGATCGCGTCTTCGTCCGATATTCGTAAGGTTGATGGGCAGTGTACAACCGCAAATACTGTACAATCCATCGACTTTTGACTAACCAGCAGGTTAGAAAACTTTGGTTGATCGTACAATTTTCGGAAAGGTTGGTGGCGTTTCCGTACGTCAAAATACGTATGATATACACTGCACATGAGCAGACGAAAATACGTGCGGTCGATTACCGCATTTCGTCCAGGTGCTTTCTTCTAATTACCGCAGATCCAACCTTGCGATAATCGGGGCATGATGGGGCCGCCGTACGTAAAGTGTACGACGGTTCAATCGTCGGACAAAAAGTTTCATCCGATGATCGCAAGGTGTATGGGCAGCTTTACAGGGACACAGACCTGACAGGAATTCTAATCCAGCGGCTGCCCGGTGTTCAGGAGCTGATACTGCAGCCTCCTGAATGCAGGTTTTTGGTTTTTCTTTAACCCCAAGAGGATTGTAAGTACCGGGCCCCAACCACATGCCCACTGCGGTCCCATTCATTTCAATAGTTTGTGTATTTTTTGCTGCGCTGCGACACAAAACATTGCGGCCATGGCACTGAATAGAGCACTATGCCTCCGCAGTACTACCATTGCAGTGGGCGGCTGTGGGGGCTCCTGTGTGAACTCGGCCATAGTCCTCGTCACACTTTGGCGTTGCCTGGGTGCACGTACATGCAACTTGTTAAAAACTTGCAACACATTTGCGGTGACATTACTTGTTCAGGACACCCCCGG